AGGATTTAGTTAGTTTTTGGAATACTGCTCTCTTTTTGGGCCGTAGTATCTTGATTTATTTTGCGAGGAGAGCTCCGTACTCTTGATGGATGCCTGCCTTTAATAATATATTAGAGCGCCTTCAGTTTCGTATGATACTGTGCAATACCTCTGGCGTGAAATAGTTGCTTCAAGCGCCGTGGCAGGCGGACAGCCAGCGCGAAACACGCATTGGCGCCTACAAACCTAACAGGGATACTTCTCGCGTTGCGCAATGTGTGAAGTATCCCTGTTAGGTTTGTAGGCGCCAGTGCGTCGCCGCTCCGCTTTGTGTTAGGCTCTAATATTAAATCTGGCGAAGTCAGCGTTATTCAACTCATGATTTTGAAATGTTTGCACATCCTGTATGGATTTTTCTCATTTTAATTCATGAAAAAAAATAAGTATTAAAGGAAAATATAATGTGTGTTTTGTAAATATTAAGGTGGTTCCGTATCAAACTTAACGATTTCCAAAGCACACGAATTTCTACACAATTTCTTTTAGCCTTTTATAATCGATGGCGAAAAAGCAACAGCCAGGCGATAAAGTGTAGAGCCCGGCGATAGGAACTATAGCCCGGCCGTATGATTTTCTCCGCATTCTACAGCCAGCTATATGATTTTCTGTAGCCTTCTTTAGCCGGCTATAAGAATTCCTTTGGTATTTTGAAACGCAGCTCTTATCGCCAATATTTACCAGGGCAATTAGACATCTAATTTTGTTAGACTGATTCTGGTAGAGCCTGTTTAATAACAAGGCAACAACGGTCATCTACCTTTTTGTCGGTTGTTGAGTACATTTTTTTGCCCGTTGATTACCTATCGCTTTGTTGTTGGCCTCCGTAGCCCATCGTCTAACAAATGACCTGATGGCTGAGTCAATCAAAAATGGATCCCAAGTATCCATATTCTTCCTAAAAGGTATTCTTTACAAGTGGAGAGATGTCATAATTTTTATAAAGGCACTTAAAGAATTAGAGGAGGCGAGTAGTAGTGACGTAACGTAAGGATGCCGCCTTGAACTTGACCGCGACTAGACGCAAGACACTCTGGTTTCTTGTAGGGAACACGGGCGGATAAAGATAATTGAACGTCGGGCGGACTCGTGAGTGAGTGCCGACAAAAATCCTCGCCGCTACCACACGAATAAACTCTAGCCGTTTCCAGTAGTGCCACGTGGAACCAACGGCGATATATTATTTACCGCAGGATATCGGTCTCCTTTTACGATGAATATAAAATATACACGGAAAAAAGTTCATTTAGACGTATTTCTATCAAACGGAACTAAGCGCCAATTTGAGTTCCTTATAAAGAACTTAGAATCCCGGATAGCGCGTTCTGTCAAACGGACCTAAGCGTCATTTAAAAGAATTGCGAGTATAGGACGAAATAAGCCGGACGCCCGATTCCGCCGCCAATCCAAGCCTCCCTCTACCTTCCTTACCCTATGGCGCTTAGGTCCGTTTGATAGAAATACGTCCAATTGAATCTTGCAGAAAAAACTTACTATAAAAGCAACCATGTTTGTGAGTGCAACATTGTATCAACATAGTGCATTATTGAACGTTTTGCACCAAAATGGTACCAAACTGGTCAAATCTACCGACAATGACCAGCGTGGAACGATATTTTGCCCAAGTTTGTACCATTTTGGCTGCATATTAAAACCATGTGGGCAGCACCTTGATACCAACAGATCGTTTTTTGCATGGAGAGGATGTTAAAAAAATGCCTGAGATCGAATTTCGTCGGGGCTTTCGTATCGGAATGTAACATTCGTCGCTGGGCTGAAATCCGAAACCAAAACCGAACTTCTGTCTGACCAATCAGAGGCCCTGAAACGGACTCATTGTCAAATGGTGTCCCCGATTTATCATCCTTACAGTAAACCTCTGCTTTTGTCTAAAGATCTGTCCGAAAATTGTATCACTTTATTTGCGACTCTTTACCCTGGTAAAAATTGGCAGTAGAATGTGTGTTCCAAAATACTATAGACCTAAAGCCGGCTGTAAGATTTCCATTAGCTTTTGTAGCCGGCTGTACAATTTCTTTTAGCCTTTTATAGCCGATGGTGATTAAGCAACAGCCAGAAGATAAAGTCTAAGCTAAACGTTACTAATTACGGATACTAGGACTTAGTTAGTTTTTGGACTTCCGCTCTCTTTTTGTGCCGCAGTATCTTGATTTATTTTGAGAGGAAAGCTCCGTACTTTTGAAGAATGCTTGTTATTCTTAATTTGTTGGAACGCCTTCAATTTCTTATGATATTGTGCAATACCTCTGGTGTGAAATAGTTGCTTGACGCCGGGGCACGCTGCGGCGAGGCGGGTGGGCAGAGAGCGTGAAACGCGCATTGGCGCCTACAAACCTAACAGGGATACTTCACGCGTTGCGCAATGCGTGAAGTATCCCTGTTAGGTTTGTAGGCGCCAGTGCGTCGCCGCTCCACTTTAGGCTCTAATATTTAATCTTGCGAAGTCAGCGTTTTTCAACTCATGATTTTGAAATGTTTGCTCACTCTATATGGACTATTCTCATTTTAATTGATGAAAAAAAAATATGTTTCAAAGGAAAATATAATGTGTGTTTTGTAAATATTAAGGTAGTTCCGTATCAAACTCAATGATTTCCAAAGCACACGAATTTCTACACAATTTCTTATAGCCTCTTATAGCCAATGGCGAAAAAGTGTAAAGCCCGGCGATAGGAACTATAGCCCGACTGTATACTTTTTTATAGCTTCGTATAGCCCGGCTATATGATTTGCTCCGCTTTCTACAGTCAGATATATGATTTTCAATAGCCTTCTTTAGTCGGCTATAGGAACTCCTATGGTATTTTGAAACACAGCTCCTGTCGCCAATTTCTACCGGGGTACCTTCGACAAGACTACAAAGACAAGTTTTAACGGATTCGGCAACGATGTATTTTGAGAATCACGAGGGCAAAACCTCGCGTGGCACTCAACTGGCGGTGTATTGCGGGTCAATCATTATACAGTTAGAGTGACCAGAGAGATTTCTCCCGATCAAGATTGAGGAGGTACCTAATATCATAACGTCGCTTCTCTGGCGTAAGGACGTAACTCGATGCCCGCATGAGCCCTAAAGAACATGGATTTATATGTAAAACAGTTCTCAAGTGGGAATTGAGGTACGACCTTATGTCAGAGGGGCCACGATAAGTGGGTCGGCTTGACTCATAAGTAATTGCCTCCTGATGCCTCTTGTTTTTGGCTGCCGTTCGTGGGACGCACGCATTGAAAATTCAACTAAAAACTTAATTTACTAAATTTTAAATTAACTAAATTTAACTAAATGTAACTAACTGAATTTAATTTAATTATTCCACTACATTTTTAATGTTTAATTGCTCTTTTTCCAGAGAGAAACATTTTTTACAGAAATTTTGAGCTCAAAATATTTATCGATGGGTTTGTTACACGTGCCCTATTTTTCTGTTTAAACATAGATGGTTAAAGTCGATAAATGCGTAGGTATCTCAAGGTCTAACTTCTTAAGTCTCCATTTTGGCTTAATGTTTCTGAGCGCAAACTAACAAACTAACAGTTTTTAATAAAATACTCTGCGGCTTTTCTTATCCTACCGTTTAAACAATCACATTAAGTTGCAGGGAGATATTTCGATTAGTCTCCTTGAAAAAAGTAAAATATAATCGGAGATTTTGAAACGCTTCAATTGAAATGCGCATTTTTCGATGCTGGCTCTTTACCGGTAGTTGTAGCTGATTTCGTGGAAAAATAACTTCCAAACTGCGCGGAAACGATTCCATGCGATTTCCAGTGTATATACTTTTCGGCTAACGAACATGAATTCCATTTATTGCTTGTATGCCTCGATTGCCTCGCAGGTAGTTAGCAATCGCCGGCAGTTTGCAACCAAGCGGCAAGCGAGTTAATTTAGCAAATTTCAATAATTCGCATCGACATTACAAAGATTTCATTATTAAAAGAACTACTGATGCACACCCACGGCCAAAAGCGCCTTCAAACTAGATAATACTCTCCGCTTTGCCAGGCAGTTAGTTTAGTTGCCTGTCCGAGCCAAACCCAAGTTACCAACACAGGTTACTGTTTTTACCACACATGTTCACATGTTGAGTGTGCTGACTGGTGTCATGCATCCAAGAAGTGAAAAAAGTCTATTTTAATTCCAAACATAATAATCAGTACTTCCTATATTGTTTCTCTGTCTCTGAAAACTCAATTTTTTGTAGAACATAAATAGATTGCAATTTGCCAGCGATTAATAATTAATTGCTCGCAATAATATGTAAGCTAGAATTTAAAATCATTGCATGACTTCCTTGTTTTACCATTAGGCATATGCTGTTATGCTGAAGTTACAACAAAATCGGGAAGCACATTCATAATTTGTGACAGAGTCAGGAAAGTGTACCTTAAGATCAAAATAATCGAGTTTCAGTTTTTAATGCTAAACGCTTCCTTATACTCTCTAGAACATCAGATTAAACTCTTAAGTATTTCGTACCATTTATGATGTTTTAAGCGTTTGAATTGAATCTTTTTATGAATGGCAACAGTCTCGGCAAACTTCGACATCGGCTTTTTCGAGCTTTCTATTTTCGTCCTTAAATTTTGAATTACATTCAACTGCATTTTGGGAATTTTTGCACTAAACGATGCATAATTAATCTTTTTGACTCCGTGGTAAAATGTAACTGTGTTCCCTCAATTTTGCGGGGAAAGTAAGGCAAAAAAAAATCAAAAATTTTTAATTAGAGTCAAAAATTTGATCTCTTAGTGAGTATCAGTACATTTTTATTGTTTTTTCTTGCTACCTAGCCATTTTCGTGTATGCTATAACAATATCTCATTTTTTCCCAACTTGTGTGCCAGACACCATGAAAATTTCTAAGTTCTGATACATTCAATCATTTCACTTGCTGATTCCTCTCTACAAATCATTTAAATATTCTTCTCATTTTTTGTTTCAGGGCGTAAATTTGGAGGGTATAGAATAGTGCCAAGATCATGCAAAGACTTAACGACCGCCAACAAAGCCACTTCCGGCGTGTGCATGTTCAACTACGAATGTACTCAAAAAGGCGGAAGCGTAGTCGGCGCCTGCATGGACGGCTTCCTCTTCGGTGCCTGTTGCCGGCTCCCGCCGGGCACCGTCATGCCCACCCTAGGTTTACCATCTTCCTCTGCCAAACCCATCGCCTTCTCGCAAACGGACAAGACAGTCACCGTCCAGAAGCCGATCAACTTCCACCCGGCAGCCGAAACGATCCTCCTCCACAAGAACGGCTCCATAGTGGATAACCTGTACAGTCCCGAAGAGCTCGGCTTCCACACGAAGCCGCAGCTGGTTTCGCTACCGCCCACTACGTTAGTCAATATGTTAAATTCCATACCAAAGATTAAGCTACCAAACCGGACGCCCTCGTCCTCCTCGTCTGACGTCTTCAACACGACGCCGAAGAACGCCGAGACGCACGAGGAGTACTCGACGTTCGACGCCGCGCCGACGCAGCACTTCGACGTCGGGTCCTCCGTTACGGAGCTCAAAGTGTCAGCGGCGCCGCTATCTACGAACAACATCAACGGCGTGTCCTTGTCGAAGAACACCCCGACGCCGACATCGAAAGCCACTCAGAAGACCGAGTCCACCTCGGTGCGGAGTACGGCCCCCTACCACTCCTACCAAAGCACGACCCCCGCCTACACGGTGACCGACGATAACCTCATCCTCGTCCCAACTCTCACCGCCGACGACAAAAACAAGCACGAGTCCATCAACCATATCATCACTATCCTCAACGATACAAACGCTGAGCCGGTCCCGGAGCCCTTCTCGCAGTCGCAATCCTCGACGCAGTCCCTCTACACGTGGGTGTCCATCGAGGAGAAGCCGGAAAAGACAGCACAACCCACGACGTCCTCGTACTTCTCGACGTTGAAGTCGACGTCAAGCCCGCGGCCATCCACCGGTCACTACTACCATGATACAAGCCACGGGCACCAGACGTACTCCGTGTACGGTAACACACACGCCGTGACCCGGCCGACCTCCACGATCCACCATATCCCAGGACCGTCGTTCCAGGTTACTCCCGAGGTGAGCATCACCCCCAAGCCCCAGATCGGGACGTCCGCCGCCACGGAACCGGTCCCCACGGTCATCGTCCTCGGCTCGCTCAACGGCGGCAAGCCGAGCAAGAAGCCGGGTGAGATCTTGTACTCGTCGTTGGGGACGACGACGCATTCGGTGAAGCGACCAGGCGAGTTGATCCTCACCGGGAACCCGAACGTCGTGACCGGTCGTCCGCCGACCGGGATCATCATCACCGCGAGACCCCAACAACAACAGCAGCAGCAGAGCAGCTACGGAACGGCGTCCGTCTACTCGCAGCCGATCACGACGACGCTCGCCTCCAAACCGGTTTACCACGAGCCGGTCTCCACGAGCCACCCGTACACCTCGACGACGGAGAAGCTCCAGGACCTGAAGCCGCCCTCGAGACCGGCCACCAAGCCCACCGCCGACAAGTCGCCATCTTACGTGCCATCCCACAACCTATTCTCAACTGCCAAACCCTTGCTGAACAAAGACGGATACGTCCAGGCTAGCCGGCCGACGACGCTGAAGCCGCAGTCGAAGCCCATCTTCACGACCGCGAAACCGGTTCCTCCGCCCATCCCCTCCACGTTCGAGCCCTACGTCACCATCGGACCCGAGGCCATAGTCCCAGACGAGCTGGACCCCGTCACCGAGGAAAACACCTACATCTCCGTCAAGCCGTTTTACCCCTACCCCTCGACGCTCCAGGACGCCTTCATCAACTCCACCGAGGACCTAATCGCTTTCCCGCCCGTTCGAGACCCCAACCACAACATCTCCACCACCCAAGGCGAGAAGCCACTCTTGACAGCAACGACGACCTTCGTCGAGTACGGCGATGAAGACATCGGTGGCGCTACTCCTCAATTCGTCGTCGACGAGAACCTCGACAACAAGGTTCACAGCTTCGTGGAGAAGATCGTCCAATCGCTCCAGGGCAACTTCGAGGACCTGGAGAAGGTTCTAATCACCGGTGTGTCCCGACCCAACGTCACGCTGAGCAACGAGATCGTCACGACGACGAAGAAGCCGAAGCCGTCGAAGGTGACGACCAAACGGCCGACGACGAACAAGAAGCCGACGAAGCGGCCGTCGAAACCGACGTCAACGCTCTCCGGGTCAAAGCCCTTGGTGACGCGACCTCCACGACCGACGACGACGGAGATTTCAAAGCCGATCATCATCACGACTAGTCCGAGTCCGACGATAACGACGCCGAGTTTGTTCCAACCCTCCGTCGAGCCGGACGAGTATTCCACCCTCTCGCCGACCAAGCGCCCTACGAAGAAGCCCTACCAACCACCCCTAGCGCCCGTCTCTTCGACGACCCTGACGATTGAGAACGTCATCGGAGGCGGGGAGGAGGAGAATGACCTCTACTCGTCCACTGAAAAGCCCCCCGTGGAACCTGATTATAGACGAGGTGAGTTTGTTTCTCTATACGCTTGAGTATGCCTCTTCTTATTTTCTAATTCTATCATTTTTGTGGAAAATTTGTATGAACGGGCAACTCCTGGGCTATACTTGCGACTGAATATTGAAATCGACGGACAAAGCTATGGACAAAGGTGGTCTGACAAACAGAACTTTGCCTTAGTTGTTCGTAGGAGAAGAGAAGAAGATCATTTCTTTCAAAATTTTATGATGGGGTAAATAAAAGTGAGAGAAATCCAGGAGGTCCGATATCCATTCCGACAGCCATTAGTTTCCTCGGAAAGGAAGTGAAGTATTGCAGGCCCTTGAGGTTTTTTTTTTTTTTTTTAGTAACTTGCGATGATTTTCTCTCGCCATGTGAGAAATGAAATGTCTCTGATTGTAAGAGATGAATAAACTGCAAAATTTTGGATTTTAAACTCATCCATCACATAAATTTGCTGAAAATTTGACAACGAAAGCCGATGGTTTTTATATCTCCTGTACCTTGGTTTACAGGTTTGAGCAATTAACAATTTTCATTCACTGCCCTTAAAACGTTCATGCCTATTAGTTTTTAAACTAGAATGGCTAAAAGAAACTGTAAGCATAAGGCCTGCGGCGAGTATAGTTCTTATAAGCATGTATCCGTCCAATCAATCTAGGCTTTATAACCCAAAAAACACAAATGATCAGCATTTTTCATCCTCATCCTAGGAACACACGAGTCAATCAAATCAACACATAATTAAGGAATGAGCAGGTTAGAAACGGTGTGTAATTCTTGAACCTAAAAGTCAAAGTCACGCAATAAAATGATAAAATTGAAAAAATTAAATAAATTTTTACGGCTTTTTGGGGTCAGTTCGTTTACACTTTTTTAACATTTTAACACAATTCATAATTAATAATATCGGCAAAGGAGAAGATTGTTCAGCAAGGGTTGTATTGTAACGCAGTCTGACGTTTGCTTTCCATTTCGCCGTCTTCAACAAAAACGCCGTAACTCCATTATAAATTAGTTCAGATTTTTACCAACAAATTTTTTTTACTACCGAGAAATCAACGACCAATCTTAATTCTAAAATAACTACGGCATACCATTGATAATTCTTTACAAAATACAACTTTATAGTGATCAGGTTTTCTCGTATTCTGCCGTGCTAAGGAAAAACGCCGTATGAGCTTTCAGGCGTTGCTAAATTTCCTCTCGCAAATCACTAATTCTCAAGAAAATATTTGATTATTTTTCCGCCAATTTTTCAGATAATTTTGTTTGTAATTTGATCTAAAGTGTCTGAAAATTTCAAAGGAAAAATATTCATAATTTTCCTAAAAAATAAGCATTTTATCCACGAAAATTTGGCGACTCTCGAATGTTCATACGGCGTTCTTCCTTTGCACAGCAGTGTTAGAACAGTACGTGTGGAAGAAAAATGAAAAGTCTTCATCGGAACTATGGCGTTTTTCCTGTGGACGGCTGTATTTCACTGCGATATTTCCATGAGATCTTTCAATAGGTCATTCTAACCGCACAACTATATGAATGATACGTCCCTTAGTCATTCAAAAAATATTCCTGCTCCTCGAAGTGGGTCGGTAGACTTTCTTCGAGGAAGAATTTTGACAATCAGTCAACTGGTCAGGCGGTCATCCATTCAGGACGGCGACGTATAGAGACGTCATTGTCCACAGATGAGAGGATAGATGTAATTACGGGACACGTCCGTCCTGAATACTTGCTCATCCATTGTTTTGCCGTCGGCGAGCGTATTTAAAATTATTCCTCCTGGTCCTGTGAGCAATGCACGCTCTTTTTACGGCTAATTTGAACGCTTTACTCTCGTTCCGTAGGACTGAGCTCCCTAAATTAGGGCGTAACATCACATGTAGGAACCTCATTTTTTTAAAGATATTAGTAAAGCGCAGGTTATTTAGATATTACCTGGTGGTTACTTCTCCATCGGAGCGTAGAAAGTTGTGCGTGAACAGAGAAATTGGTTACTGCCGTGCTATGCAAGAACGCCGTAAATCCATCAAGATTTTCCCTCGTTTTTTGAAACTTCACACTTTATAAAATAAAATAAAAATTAATAACTAAATATAATAAAAACATATAAAATGTATAAATATATAAAATAAAATAAAATAATTAAAATAAAAAACTGTTGTACCCATGCTCCTCAAGTTAAGTTCTTGATAGTATTTGCGAAATAATTCTGTAAAAACAATGTCCCGAGGTACACAAATTGTTCTGCTATGATAGATTAATTCCAATGAATGAAAAATGGCGTTTATGGCGTTTTTGTGTTGCACGGCAAGGTACTGACAATTTAAGAGGCCACGGAGGGCTGAACACTGAAAAAACAAAGAATCATAATCTCAATTTTACTCATGGCTGATTTTCGAGTCAGTTATAAGAGTAGTTAAAGCAGACAGAGGTATGGCTGATTCAACCACATTTTCGGCTGACTCAACCGTACCTCTAGGTGGCTGGTGCAACTACCCTTATCTTTGGCGCCAAAATCAGCCGGGAGCATAGTTGGTATTGTGATACTTGTTTTCCGCGAAAGTGTCCCAGCTTTTTTTAAATTTTATTAAACCATTTTAATTTAACAATCTCAGAGAAGATACATATATTGCTCAGGATTGACCAAATAAGCTAGGTTCAGAGGTTAAGCATTGCAACTTAAAAGTATGTTTCCTCGTCAAAATTATACGCGTAACATGCATTAAAAATTTCTCATTTTAACTTGAAAGTGAAAAAAGTACAACTTAGACGGTGAAATGACAACTATTATCAGGGCTCTCAGTTTGGCATCTTCCTGTGATTGTCTCTCTTTATTTGTTTTTATATTATTATCACGCTAGGTTGAAACCCGGGTTTATCGTTGAGTGCACATTCAACCACGTCCAATAAAGAACAAAAAAGATTTTCCGTTTAGAATAGAATAAACCTGCATTCAAGAAAACGCAGAATATTTCCCTCTCATACGAAACGTCCAAAATGACGTCACACATATCGAGAAAAAAATTAGACCGAGTACACACGATGCGTAACCAATATTTCCATCCTATGTGTAGTTTGTGTATCAATTATTTCTCGGTGTTTATTCAATTGAAGAACACATTTTACTTATTCTTTTTTTTATTTTATTTTTCTAATCCCTCAGGATGAGTCGTTTGAACGTGCGTTTGAGGCATGTTTCAACACTTATGGGATGAATCAATATCTCGGGAACTAGCTATATATCTTGATTGACTGGCAAAGAAACCAGAAAAGCAGCATCTGGAATGAGCTTCCTCCCATGGAATACTTTCACAAGCACAAATAAATACTATAGAATATTCAAATCATGGAATATTTATGAAATAAAACTATTTATTCATACTTGAAATCGTACTCATTTCCTTGTATATACTGTACATATGGATTTGGAAGAGTCGATTTTCTTAGTTTCCTCTCAAAAAATGAACATTCATTATTCGGTACGTTATCTATGGGAAAGCTTTTGTGTATCTTGAGATTCTTTTCTGTGCTTAAAATTTTTATCAACTTTTAAAGATAATGCATTCGACAAGTTTTGAATTAATGTGGGACTTAAGTGTCATTTTTGCTCCTCAACTCAGGATGATGAAGTTAAATGGCGTGCAAGACAGATTTACGGTACACTTGTGGATTTTTTTTTTTACGATTTCTGAATTATTTTACCACAGTTTTTGAATATTGCTATTCCTTTAAAGTGAGAAATACAGTAAGACGTGGTATGTCATATCATTAGCCAGACTGAGGCCCGTAAATACTTCTCATTTCATCAGAGGTACATTAAAATTTATCTAAAAAACTTAATCGGAAGTTTCAAAAAAGTACATAATTAAAATGTTTATCATTTTTTTATATTTATATTTAAATTTTTATTCTTAATAGCTGCTCCTTGGCTTAAAATGGTATCTTTTTTCAATATTGTATCAAGGATTGTCTAAAAAACATCGCTTGAGGTAAAGCGATAATCTTTATGATTCTTTTCGGCGGTCAGTTTTTCCTACCTTTCAAACCTGTCATTTCATCAATAGGCGTTTATTTCTTCCAAATTCACAATTCTACTCGAAACTGCATTTTATAAATAAAGCTGTGTGATATAATAGAACCCAAGAAAAAATAAGACAATTTTTCTTCGGTAGAAGGAATAAAATCTACCACAGTACCAACATATTAAAGGATTTGTATCGGTTACCTTTTTAGAGATTTTTAGTGAAGATTTAGAATCAAATTACTTAGGTTGTCATCAGAATTAAAAAAAAATTGGCAATAACATGGTTTACGAAGAAAAAATATCAGTAGTGGACTAGCTGCGATGATAGAACCTGTTTTGTGATTTGAGGCCCTCCATATTCATCTACAGTTCGCTTGGTCACACCTTAATTAGCTTAAAATTGACAAAGCTCCAGACCCCGAAAGAAGAAAGAAATGTAGCAGAGGAAGGTTTTACGTATTTTCTCAGAATCCTTGGTTTCTGCTTAAAAGCCTCCATACGCTTTAAAAATTAGGAAAAGTATTTTTCAGATGAGAAATACTGGTATTAACCAACAATTTGGACTTGAAATCTCACGTCATATTCATCCCCCTTCATTTGTCACTGGTCAGATTTGCGTGTCGTTAAATGAAATTTTGGTGGGTTAACCTGCAGAACCATCAAAAAAATCATGAGACCTGTCAGAACGCAAAGTTTTTCTCTTTTTTGGAAACATTTTTCTAATGGAAATTTTTTTTTAAAAAATGAAATTTATTTATTTAAAAAAAACATAAAACATTATTTAGAAATCGATTTTCACTTTGTAACTGAGCGCTAAAATTAGACAGAAATTTCATCATGCTCTTTAATGAGCTTGAAATTCTGCGGTCAAAGATTGAGTTTGCTACACGCACGTCGGAGCAATTCCATTCAAAGAAATGCATCCTTCGAAAAAAAAGAGGAGGAAAAGAGAGAAAACCAACTTATATTATTTCTTGAACTGCCGATGAATTTCCAACTCATTCCAAAAGATTCAATTAAAATGTCAAAAAATATATATTGGTCGTTGCTGCAAAATAAAAACGCAATCGAATGTTTTGAGACTCCGCAACAGAGCTACACATTTCCCGACCTAAGGCATCAATAATTCGATGTCCATAAGAAATGATTATGCAAATCGTAGGCAGGCTCGAGGAGGCAGCAAGGATGACATCAGCCGTTGAAACACCTGGGAAAATGCGTCCGAACAACACTTCATTAGCTCGAATAATTGGGCTCTCAGCTCGCCTCGTCACTTTGCCATGTACAAACGTAACCACATTCGGAGATGAGCTCCAGTACCCATTCAACGTCATGTTTTCCAAGGCTCACGAGAAAACAGAGTCACGATTTACCTCGAGCGTCTTTCCATATCGATCGTGCACCACGTGCCCAAACGCCGCGCGATTCGCGAAAGGGAAAATAATTTCACCCGTTCCAAGCCGGAACTCTCTCCGCCACCGCACGTTGACGCTGTCGTTGACGTTGCCTTTTCCTCGCTTAACTAGTTGATGAAATATTTAATTTTCAATTTGTATCTTATTAGCACCCCGCAAAGTTAGTGCTTGTTCGCCCTGCTGAGAATGATAATTACACCTGTTGGTGAGGGCCCGATCTACAGGTCAGAGTAGGACGCCAACTGACGTATTCGTCAAATTTTGGTTAGTGATTTTGATGGTTGAAGTGCGATACCACGTATCTCCATAGACTGCTTTAGAGGTTACGTCATTCGATAGATTGGTGTATTCGCTGATTGAGATGTACACAAAAACATAACCTCAATCTAAAACAATTCAACCCTCTAATTGGCTGTCATCATTTTACCGCGTTTTCAAAGCGCGCGGCAAAAATAATCGCTACTCAATCGGGCCAATTTGATTTCAATTATTTACTGCAATGTATCGAATGACGTATTCACTAAATCAGTCTATTGCGATGTTTCAAACTCTCTGCTCCTATTATATTTTTAAAAAAGGAACAAGTCGACTATGTAGCTTGAAATTTCTATGGAATATTCTACTAACAGAGAAGAAAAATCAAGGAAGATTCCAAGAAATAAGTTGCAACTAGCTTCCCAATGAAAAAAATTAAGTTTGACAGGAAGTCTGCAACGTCGTAAATGGAGATTCGGAGTTTCGCACTTTGTGTGTTGCACAACTCAATATGATTCGTTGGTACCCAAAAAAAAAAAACCACTTCAGATTTTTCAGGCAAACTGAGCAACTTTTGAAATTAAAAGTATATCCTATTAGTCTATTTACACTGATTGCTGAGAACCTGACGTGAGCATAAAAATGTGAAATGTAAGATTTCACTGCACCTTTAACTACAGAATCATTTAAGTGTAAATCTCAGTTGTTGCAGATTTATAAATGTTACCTAAAATGAAAGCTCTAATCAGTGAAATCAAGGAGGAGGGAAAATTATATACATGTCGACTGACCACAGGTCTATTAACATTCAGGTTTTCTATCAATTGATAATTTTATACTTTTACGAAATTCTGCCTTTCAAATTTTTTGAAATTTGTTTATTTTGTCCAACAGAATGTGGAGTCAGACCTTTGGTGAAGAAAAATGGCCGAATTGTTGGAGGTAAAGGATCAACATTTGGAGAATGGCCATGGCAAGTGCTGGTACGAGAGGCGACATGGCTCGGACTTTTCACGAAGAACAAATGTGGAGGAGTTCTCATAACACAGCGACATGTCATCACAGCTGCTCATTGCCAACCCGGGTAAATAGATTCCATTTTGTGGAGGATGTTACACATTTCAAACTGCATGTATTTCAAAAATCAATCGATTAAAAAGTTCGCATCTTTACATTGGAGATGAAAAAGCTGGAAAAGAGAATACATGACTGAAAATCTAAATTGAACAAACTGCAGCCGGCAATAATTGAACAATATGCGGGGAATATTTGAAATAACCTATCTGATTTCATCATTAATTTAGTGCACGAATCGGAGTCACATCAATATAAAGTCATTACTTACAAAAGCAATGAACTGAGTACATGACAAAGAAAGCCTCGAAGCGCATAGGAACAGGTGCTATACTTGCAATGCCATTGACCGTGCTCTCCCGTAGGAGCTCCTTCAATTTGATAGCTATGCAATTTGAGCTGCTCTGGGGTTGAAATAGTTGTATCGCGCGCCTGTTACTCTCGACGCGCGATTTCAAGCAAGTACATTTCGAAGTGTCTGGATCTGCATATGGGAGCTCCAAGGGCCCAAAAAGGCAAACCAATCTTTAACACGAAAAGCACTAGTAAAATACCGCTGCCAATCCTCAGACTAAAAATTATCAGAGCAAAAGAGACAAGAATGTTTATAAATAAGCGAACGTCATTCCGCAAAAATGAGTGAATGTTTGCAAAAACAAAGTCAAGTAAATGCTTTAAAACCAACGAGTAATAAAAATTGTAATATTATATCATTCTGGAAAATTTAAATTCATATGTCACCCTTTTGGGCCCTGAGGGACCGTCCCTAAATTACGTAACGCAGTTTTTCGGCATTTTTGACACCCCCCCCGACGCTTTTGTGACGCAGGTCCCTACCCTTTAATACATAAAACCAAAATTGTGTAACACCTTCCTCAATACCCCCTCTCCTCTCGCACTTGAGGGTTACGTAATCTAGGGACGGCCCCTTAAAGCTCCATGTGCAGTTTTGTGTATGTCTTGGTTGTTTTCATTATTTTGAGTTGGTATGTTTTCGTTCTCACTGATTTATTTCTTGCTGAGGATTCTTTACCATTCGCACTACAATGCTTCGTTTAATTGAGTTTTTTTGTGTGCCCGTGGCAGGTTTTTGGCGAATCTGGTGGCGGTGTTCGGGGAGTACGACATCAGCGGTGAGCTGGAATCCAAGCGGAGCGTGAGCAAAAACGTGCGTCGGGTGATCGTGCACCGGCAGTACGACGCGGCCACTTTCGAGAACGACATCGCCCTCCTCGAGCTGGAGTCGCCCATCACCTTCGACGCCCACATCGTCCCTATCTGCATGCCCAGGGACGACGAGGACTTCACCGGCAAAATCGCCACCGTCACCGGCTGGGGTCGCCTTAAATACGGTCAGTCGCACTCCACGAACAAGTCGTCGCTTTTCTGACACACAGTGGAACGAGCTAATAGGAGAAGTCGGACACGAAATTTTTGGCTTTTCCAAATTTTGATGTTTATTTCGTCACTAATTCGATTTCACTGGGTGTTTCTGCAAGGATTTTTCACGAAAAAACCAACAAAACCACGCGTGTACTTCTTTGCTCTATATGTTCGAAAATATAAGCTTTCAAAGTTTCCAGATTTTGTCTGACTTCTCCTTTTGATTCGGTCCAGTGTGTGACGTAAATCTCGATTTCCGCAAAAACCGCGGGCTGCTGATCGTTGATAATGTCGGCACGACGAGAATCGAAAATTCACATATTACACAACGCAGCGGGGTGATCGTTGAAATTAATAGACAAAGCGATAGACACAGAAGACATGAGCAGTTTGGAGCGATCCTATTCGTTAATTTGGGAGGTTCCTATAAACTAAGTGAGAAAATGATGGACTAACTAGAGATGCTCTCGTGAGTTGCCGTCAGTTAGTCTATTACCTACTTGTTTTGTCTGTTGAAACCACCCAAATTAACCGCAATAGGATCACTCCATACACCTGATGTCTCCTTTGTCTATCGCTTTGTCTATCAATTTCAACAATCCGCACGCAGACAGGACTACATCTTAATCTTTCCTAGCAGAATATTCGGTATGAATTTCGGGGTATAAAGTCCGCCTCTTCAAAAAAATAAAATAGGAGCGGAAATTTTGAAACACTGCAATGCAGTGGTTTCACACATTGAACACATTGACATGCTCCATGCATGCAGAGTTAAAAGTGATAAGAGGTACTTTGCTGCGAGTGTCGCTTCCATGAAATTCTAAAAGACGCAAGCTGTATAAAATTCATTTGACCTATATGTCATATTTGATTGCAGGCGGAGGTGTACCAAGCGTCCTACAAGAAGTCCAGGTACCTGTTATTGAAAACAACGTATGTCAAGAGATGTTCCACACAGCCGGCCACGCGAAAACTATCCTGAGCAGCTTTTTGTGCGCGGGCTATGCCAACGGACAGCGAGACTCTTGTGAAGTAAGTTCCTAGAATCATTTTATTCCACGTGAACAAATAAATGACGTGAAGATTTCTCAGAGACAATCTCGAAAGTTAAATTGCTACCAGTTAATTATTACTCAGTCTCTGAGAGGATGGCTAAATGCTTCGCGTCTCTCCTTTACCTTTTCTTTCGAAAAGAACGAAGAGTTTTCAGTAAAGTTATTGAGCAGAATTCTCTTGATGGAAAGACAAACGGATGCTCCTCACAAAAGTTGACCGTTTGTTTTATAATGCAGGAGACTTCCAGAGGAGTTCCGAGAAACTCTCTTAGATCTGGGAAGTTGACTACATTTTGCAATTTGGAACTACGAGTTCTGGCTCAGTTTAGAAACAACGTATCTAACATTAGTCTTCCTGTGCATGTGAGTGTTTTTACAGATGAGCTAGAAATTGTACCTCTGGATAGCAAAATGTGATTCAAGTACTCGTGAGTTGCCTCTCAATGTCTTTAGTCACCCGTGAAGAGTAAAAGTCTTTATTTCATCTCTTTAACAATTTCTTGCTGCGTCTTGTTAAGATTCACGGTCAAGTAAATTCTTCACAACAGTCTTATTTGTGTAAAGGGGAGAACATCTGCGTTTCGAGGTTGATTCTAACTTAATTTGGCAGAAAAGAACCAAGTTACATCAAGATCGAAATGGAGCAATAAAAGTTTGAAGTTGTATCCCTCCTTAATCCTTAGTTTTTTAAATATTTTTAGACACCTATTTTAAATAAAATATTTCTAGATTTTGTTTGAACCTTTCTAAAATATTAATCATTTCATTCTCGCTATTTCTTACAGGGTGACAGCGGTGGTCCGTTGATGATCGAACGAGAGGATGGTCATTGGGTCTTAGCGGGAACCGTTTCACACGGAATTAAGTGTGCGGCACCATACCTCCCCGGTGTTTACATGCGAACGACTTACTACAAACCGTGGCTCCAAACTATCACCGGTGTCGCATGAGGTGGCTTTGAACTACTTTCTTGACCAATTGTGACGCAAGGCTTTTGAATCAGATGCCCATATTTTATAATGCAGTCGAAAAAACTTTTTCAGTGACTTTCCTTACTGCCTCAACAGGAATCTGTTTTAGACTATTATCTGACGACTCAAAACCAATTAAGTTTGCCACTCTGCGAAAATCAACTCGGCTTTTTTTAAAAAAAAACTCATCATTGCCATCAGCATTCATCAGCAATGAGATTATGCTTCTTCAATTGCTTACAATAATCTTGCAGCAATTTGGTGGAAGGCTTTTGAAGCCATTTGATATTTGAATGAATGAAACAGCTATCATGGGTGAAGAATTGGAAGGACTTAATTTTATTGAAATTTGCGGGAGTTTGAAGTTTGATAGGTACTTGGAAAAAAATAATATTTAAAATGTTTGTCCTGAGCTCCTTATAAGACCATTCAGAAAGCCATGGATTGTTTCAAATTTGTTTAAGATTCATCTGGAAGAAAAGGATTAGTGACTAATTTTGAATGCTCACTTTGAACGCTCAGTGAAGCCTTATAGAAAAATTATACCAAAAATATTAGTTTTGATGATTTTTCATTGTTGATATTATGTAGATAGTTAAGTTTTTCCCGTGTAAAAATGTTTAGTAAATGTTGAAATTCTATTAGATGAATGGATTTATAAATAAAATCGATGTCAATATATTTTTGATAGTGGTACAAATGAATTTGTATACAAATTGTAAATATGTGTTCATAAAGTTCCAAATTTGTAATTTTTGATATCGAAAAAACGCGTGGATTAAATTTTAAAATAACATGAAGTACCTACTTGAAGAATAAAACTTTTTTCAAAGTTACAACAACCCGCGTGAAAGTTATACTTTACAAAAAGTAATAAAAAGAGTAAGTTAAATTAACTGTAAATTTAAAGTACGTAAAAAATAAATTAAACAACACGATGTAGTGTTTTAGGTAAGAGTTATTTTTGTGCCACTTAATATTTTTTTCTTTTTTTATGTTATATTAAATTTTTAATGTCTATAATTTATGACTCCAATTGAACAATTGATATGAAAAACACCTCCGCAACAAATGGACACAGCTATACTTTTATAACAAACAAGTTTTCATATTTATTTATTTATTAATGTCACATATTTATTTTTAACTTTTAACGATTTGCAAATATCTTCTCTTACTCTTTACTTAATAATATGGAATCATATTCGAAGAAAATTATTACTTTGTTCATTGTTTTTCGTTCATTCAACTCGTTGTTTTGTTATTTTTTCATTAAAATTCCTCAATTTCAATTCTGCTCAAAGATGTCCGGGTGGATTTCAATTGATTCGGACGACCTGATTCTCACCAGAAATGTTATAGCTACCAATCAACCAAAACTACATTTACCATATTGTAGGATGTTTTTGTACATCTACAATTCAAATTTTATACTGAATCCACGATCGAGTTTCATTAGCGTTATTCGCATATATCTCGCTCAGTTTCATTGAACGAAGTTGCGAGGGGCACCATTGGTCACCTCTAAGCCAAGCATGTATCAATAAAAGCATGACACAACATGTTATATGCAGATTTTGATCCATGAAACTCATCAATCATGATTTTAATACTTTCAAAACAAGATACCGCTGGATCAGTGATTCGAATTAAATCAGTTTACCCCTTATCCCTTTCGCCCTTGTTTTCTATCCAGGTTTCTCTTTCAAATGGTTCATTCTTGTTGTTGTTATTATGTGTGTATATTATTCCTGTGATATTATCATATTTATTTCACTTGTTCCAGTACATGTTGAAAAAAAAATTAACATTCAACGATTGAAATAAATGTTTGTGCATATTTTATCCCTTTCTTTGTGTATCAACAATTACAAAATAAATCAAGACGTTAGACCGACAAATATAAGTTTTTTTTATCACTCTCGCTCTTTCCCTCTCTCCCCTTCTCCCCCCTGCCCCTCTCTCATCCTTTCTTTTTCCACCTCTACTTTCCATAATTGATGTTAGAATTAAATTTCCGGAATTATATTCTTCAATCAATTTTCAACATTCACGCGATAGAAATATTACTCGGCAGGTGAATGAGTACTGTAAATGCTGGAAGCTGTGAATGTTTTTGACATGCGAAAAACGTTAAAAATGAAAGCCATTTTCGATTTATTTGATAAAGAAAGAAACTTTCAGAACTTATGTATATTTCCCGCAGATCTCCGCTCGTTGCGTCTTCGAGGTAATCAGCTCAGAAAACTTTATAATCTCAGGGTATTTCCAACGCGATACTAACGCCTTCAATCAAACGGCTATGCAATTTTAACCACGTATAAACTCGCATAGCTACCAAGTCGGGCTTCTGTTTTTCAGCGCTTGAATCGCTAATTTATACTATTCACTTCGTTAGTTTAACACTTTTTTTCGCTTTACTTCAAGACTTTAATCGACATTTACCTCTCTCACTGAAAAACGCACGGTACAAGTTTGCCCTAGGAGAGAAACAAATTTAAGAAAAACACTTTTTGAATGAAGACTTTCCACGTTCCAATTCACCAAGATAAACAATCCTTTGATAATTTACTATGAACGACAACAAAGCTCTGATATGACTCAAACAAAACATACATTTATAGTGATTCATCGAGTCAGTTTAATACGCATTCAGTGATGCATGACTTCATTAAATAAAAAGTAAATTACTAAATAAAAAAATTTAATGACTTTCAAAATTGAACACTAGGATAATGTACTCCAAAAGCATAAAATACATTCAGAAAAATAATCTGCCTTGAAAAGGAAGACCATCCTATTTCAGTAAACGTTAACTCTAGTTGTCACTATTAAAATTTTAGAACATAAATAAAGAGAATAGCCAAAAGTAGCCAAATCAATTACCATGCTCTAAACAGCTTAGCTAGCCGCAATGGCACTGGAAAAAAAACACATTAGATGTAGAGTCCAGACTCTTAAAGACATCAACAAGAAGAAATACTCTTGATTCAATCAGATTTAAGCTTAGATCAAGAACCAAGCCTCTTAATTTGAGCGGATTTCCTTTTGATTTAAACAAAAATCTGATTGAATCAAGAGTCCTTTTTCTTGCCAATGTTTTCAAGAGTCTCGACTCAAGATCCAATGTGGTTTTTTTTCCAGTGTGGCGATAAAATGTATATAAAATTTTACTCAATTAGTAAAGCAGTTGAGCCCTTAAAGCGCAAAAGTATCCCTCTCGGTCCGTGTGACAAAGAAAAACAAAGAAAACTGTTTTCTGGTGATGATCATCAATGAAAATTTGTTCAATGCATCTGTAATGAGGAAAAAGTCCCATTCGCGAGATATTACCGATGATCAATTCTAAAGGAACAAAATATTTACATACAGATTTGCCGCTCAGGGAGTGGCGTGTATTGAGGAACCGATCGCGAAATATTCCCGATATGATAATATATTTCGTGCTGGGATCGTCCCTTTTGCGATTCATCATTCATGCATGTCGGTGATTGGACGAGCGCAGCGAGGACACAAGGGTGCCAGATTTGGTTGAAAATCAATATCGCCCCACAAGAGTCAATGTAGATGAGGCGAATTTCACCACCAAATCTGGCGATCTCGTGGCACAGCGCCGCCCTCTGACGTAAGGGCGTATCTCGCGATCTCCAAGTGAGCCTTATTTTGCATATAAACCCATGCTTTCTAGGGCTCATGCGGAAATGAGGATACGCCCCTGCGCGAGAATAGAAGAGCCCCGAGGGAAAACAGGGTCGAAAGGTGAACAAACTTCGGAGCTCTTCCCTTCGTGACGAATCGCTCGACTCTATTCCGCGCAAATATTTACTTTCAATTAAAGATTGCTAAAACGAGCCCGGCGCTTTTCGGGGTTCCTCGACGCTCGCCGAAAAAAAATGCGTCTTAACAAAATTAGAAAATACGAACAATGAAAATACGCTCACGAACATAGTTTGACCTGTGAATTCTACCTTTGAGACGCGAGTATGTGATGGATTGAAAATTGATTGATTCTGATAGGAATCCGAACCCTTGCGACTTTTCATCTACATATTCAGCCGTGCGGACGAAAAATACCGTATGAGCTAGGACCTATCAAACGTTGCCAACTTTATTTGAACAAATCACGAATTTCCCCAACCCTGGTAAAAATTGGCGATAGGAGCTGCGTTTCAAAATACCATAGGGGTTCTTATAGCCGACTGAAGAAGGCGGTAAAAAATCATATAGCTGGCTGTAGAAAGTGGAAAAAATCATACGGCCGGGCTACACGAGGCGATATAAAATTATGCAGCCGGGCTATAGTTCCTATCGCCGGGCTTTACACTTTATCGCCTGGCTGTTGCTTTTACGCCATCGGCTAAAAAAGGCTATAAGAAATCGTGTAGAAATTCGTGTGCTTTGTAAATCCTTAAGTTTGTACGGAATCACCTCAATATTTACAAAACGCACATTATATTTTCCTTTACTACATTCTTTTTTTTTTTTCTTTTTTTTTTCATCGATTATAATGAGAATAATCCATACAGAGTGTGCAAACATTTCAAAGTCATGAGTTGAAAAACGCTGACTCCACGAGATTAAATATTTGAGTCTAACACAAAGCGGAGCGGCGGCGCACAGGCGCCTACAAACCTTACAGGGATACTTCACGCATTGCGCAGTGCGTGAAGTATCCCTGTTAGGTTTGAAGGCGTCAATGCGTGTTTCGCGCTGGCTGCCCGCCCGCCGCCCGGCGCCGCAGCGTACCACGGCGCTTGAAGAAACTATTTCACACCAGAGGTATTGCACAGTATCATACGGAATTGCAGGCGCTCCAACATGTTAGGAATGGCAGGCATCCTTCAAAAGTACGGAGCTTTCCTCGCAAAATAAGTCAAGATACTACTGCCCAAAAAGGGAGCGGTAGTCCAAAAACTCACTAAGTCCTAGCATCCATAATTAGTAACGTTCAGTATACACTTTATCGCCAGGCTGTTTCTTAGTCGCCATCGGCTATAAACGGCTATAAAAAATTGTGTTGCCGGCAATAGAAGCTATTGGAAATCTAACAGCCGGCTGTAGGTCTATGGTATGTTGAAACACAGATTCTGCTGCCAATTTTTACCAGGGAAAAAATCATGAAGAATATTCCAGGTTATTTTCCTTCCAATTTTTCGGAGAAATTTTTTTGTAATTTCATCTGACGAGTCTGAAAGTTTTAAAGGAAAATAGGCACACTTCCTTCGAAATGAAACAAATTTCTGAGAGAAAATTTGGTAGCATTCGAAACTCATACAGCGTTATTCCTTAGCACCACAATATCGATGGCTGATATTAATTTAAGGCCTAAAATCGCACTTTCGCGCCCCCATTTGAAACTTTGTAAGTGTTTTCTAGCAGTGTTGAGGTATCAATTTTTGCTGATTTTATAGCCTGAACATCTCGGAAAAATATTACAAAATGGCCACCGTATTGTAAAGGGCGATTGAAGGTACATCTAAAACATAAAGAGTCGCATCTTACGGAAAAACACTTGAAGCCGAAAATTCTTAAACTCTTAGTTTAAGAATTTGTTTGTACTCTCATTATTTTGGCACTTTTTTAAAGAATTGGTATCAACACCTTAGTTTTGAGTTGTTCCCTTGTTATTCTGTGAACGACCACCAACAGATGATTGAAATCGAAAAAACGCATTTTTTACTGCAAAGTTTAAAAATCTCCAATTAGGTCTTTTTTTCAAAGAAATGAAAAAAAGATTCCCTATTGATGTTTTTGAGTGAGCGAAAAAAGTTCGCACCAAAAAAAATTATTAGCAAAATTACCATCAAAGACAAGGATTTTCCGAATGCAGCCATCAATGAATTAACTCGGACCAGAAATTACAGAGAAATAAAAATTCAACATCCACGATTTGTGCGAGAAATTGTCAAGGGATTAATAAAGACTTTTTTTTCATTCATTTGAAAAAAAAATTGTAAAAGCTAATCCTCTAAAGGAAACCATTGAATCCAAAATAGTTCCCATCTGTTCGACCGTAAATTTTCATTTTTTGCTGTCATACTGTAACTCAACAATGCTTTGTAAAGCTCTCTCGAAAACTACGAGTACGTCACAGAGATGATTGCTTTTTGGGCACTCTTAACGGTAGATCTATCTGTTATTAAATCTTGCCGGCTTCATTCATTTTCGAGTGCCATTGTCAAACACTATTGTTCGCGAGCAGCAAACAGAGCAAACGGAACACCAACATCTTGAATTACCAACCCCGTGGAGCCCGGGAATGAATGAAATCGCTCCGCCCCTGCACAGGAGGTAAATTCGCCAACCCTTTCAGCAAATATTTGGGGGATGATTAATGAAATGAGCCGTGGGAAATTCGGCCTGGAACCAGGCGGCACGCTCAAAAACATCGACGTTACACGCCGCTCTGTTTGCGTTGAGACCAGGAACAAGATTGAGTGGTGAGGTGATGGCGGTAGGAGGTGGAAGGGATGGGGCCTCTGGCTGATACTCCGGTGAGTTAGGTAAACTACTTAATTCTAGCACTACTCAAGTATTAAATCCAACGGCAAGCACCTGTAGACGGCTGCTCTGCCGTGCTAGGGAAGAACGCCGTATGAACATTCGAGTATTGCCAAATTGCTCCCGATGAAACATGTATATTTACAGAAAATTATGCGTATTTTTCCTTAAAATTTGTAGACATTTTAGATAAAATTGCGAACAAAATTGTCTGAAAATTGAAGAAAAATACTAACGATTTTCCCGGTAAATTAGGTATTTATTGAAGGAAATGTGGCAGCCTCTGAAGGCTCATATGGCGTTCTTCCTCATCACGGCAGTACTCTACCGTGCTAGGAAATAACGCCGTATGAGCCTATATCAGTTGCTTTATTTCCTTTGATTAAATACGACTATTCAGGAAAA